CTAGGTCTTGTTTTAATTATTTAATCAGTCAACTATGGAACATTAAAAACAAAGAAAGCCATACCACCTGTTTAATTGTATGGCTCCTATGTTAAAAACAAAGAAAGCCATACCATCTGTTTAATTGTATGGCTCCTATGCTAAAAACAAAGAAAACCATACCATCTCTTTAATTGTATGGCTCCTACATTAAAACAAAGAAAACCATACCATCTCTTTAATTGTATGGCTCCTACATTAAAACAAAGAAAACCATTCTGTCTGAATATATTTATATCGAAAACGATAGAAACAAGTTTATGAATGCTATTTAAGAAACAAGAATGAAAACACAGTTGTTACATGCTAATCTCATGTTAATAATCATACAAGCATTCTTGCTGAAGACTCCAATCTGCATATAACTACTTGTTACATGCCTTTTAACAACAATAAAAATATAGCGGGCAGATGGATGAAGAAACTCATGCTTGAATTAATGGTAAAATTGTTGACTGAATAATCTCAGGATTAAAAATCAACAATGAAAAACAAGTACACACTTTATCCAAAGTTGACTGATTAAATAATTAAAACAAAACCTGGAGTGTGAAAACACTTTATCCATAGTTGATTGACTAAATAATTAAAACAAACCTAGAGTGTGAACACACTTTATCCATAGTTGACTGACTAAATAATTAAAACAAGACCCAGAGTGTGAACACACTTTGGCTTAAAATAGGAGCCATACAATTAAACAGGTGGTTTAGTTCAACACATCCACCGGACACGCTTGTGTTTAATGGAGATAACTAGTTCAACATATCCACCGGACATGCTTGTGTTTAATGAAGATAACTAGTTCAACATATCCACCGGACACGCTTGTGTTTAATGAAGATAATTAGTTCAACATATCCACCGGACATGCTTGTGTTTAATGAAGATAACTCGTTCAACATATCCACTGGACACGCTTGTGTTTAAGGAAGATTTTTTGGATTTGTACATTTTTTTACTACCTCCCTCTGTATGCCCAACTTCGTTAGTGATTGAAGAGAATCTGTAATACTGTCTCCTTCTGCATGTTAAACTTGGTTAGTGAGAAGAATCGGTATCCTTTAACCTCCAGTTAGCAGACTAACTGACTACTCGAGGTAAATCGACAATGACACAAGTATATACTGACAACATTAAATGATAATTATTTGTTGATCTCAAAGGAAACGTATTCTGCTGATGGAGTCACGTTCACATCAAAACCTGAAAACAAAATTGATTAAAGTAAGACCCACCTAGATAGCCGAATCCTTAGTGTGGCTACCGCTGCTAGATCACCCAGGATTTCTCCAACTGTGATTTCAGATGAATCAGTGATTTGTTCAAAACTTAGCGGTTTCCAATTCTTTAACTGTATGGCTCCTATATAAAAACAAATAAAACCATACCAACTGTTTAATTGTGTGGCTCCTACGTTAAAAACAAAGAAAGCCATACCATCTCTTTAATTGTATGGCTCCTACATTAAAAACAAAGAAAACCATACCACCTGTTTAATTGTGTGGCTCCTATGTTAAAAACAAAGAAAACCATTTATCTCCATTAAACACAAGCATGTCCGGTGGATATGTTGAACGAGTTATCTTCATTAAACACAAGCATGTCCGGTGGATATGTTGAACGAGTTATCTTCATTAAACACAAGCGTGTCCGGTGGATATGTTGAACTAGTTATCTTCAATAAACAATAGCGTGTCCGGTGGATATGTTGAACTAAAAATCTTCCTTAAACACAAGCGTGTCCAGTGGATATGTTGAACGAGTTATCTTCATTAAACACAAGCATGTCCGGTGGATATGTTGAACTAGTTATCTCCATTAAACACAAGCGTGTCCGGAGGATATGTTGAACTAGTTATCTTCAATAAACAATAGCGTGTGCGGTGGATATGTTG